GCATTCGTTGCGGTATCTCCCACATTTCCCTGGGGAACCGGGCGATAAGGTCTTCTGTTTGTTGCAGGGACCTTCTTCCTTCGATGATTGAAAAGATTAATGAGTAGGTGAGTGCACTTAAGGGCCCTCTATCGTGAATTGATCCTGCTTGTAGTTTGGACAATTGGAAAATAGTATACGCGATGTCGATGGCACCATCGGTATTCTTGTCTTTGAAGACTGGGTACAGTCGGACATCTTCTGCAAAATCTCCAATTACCACATTCGGGTATTGAAGACTTATTCTCTTAAGCACGGACGTCTTGCCTAAGCAAGCCGTCCCGTCTATAATCGTGACGCTCTCTGGATGATTCATTGCAAAACTTATGCCTTTCAGACTGTTCGCACGAATGGGGGGGAGAAAGGGGGATACAGGGTGTCTCTCACACTGCCACCTAACGTCTTCTTGTTACTTGCGGTAGGGTGTTGCGCATGAAATTCGAACGAACATGATGAAGCTACAAAATTATTGTACAAAGTTACAGTTTGGGCTGGAACATCTCAGTTGATTTCATAGCGGATTAGTTTCCCCCTTCTAAACTGAGGGATTCAGGCCGAGCTAACTTCAACTGCGGGCGCTGTAATTCCGTCATAAGTCTCTTGAAATTCAGAGACGGATGCAGGGTACTCGACATCTCTGCGGTGAGATGTTGGATCCAATCCTCTTTCAGTTTTGGGTCATCTGGAAAGCTAATTTTTTTAACTTGTGTTCGAGCCACCGTTTTAGTAGTCCAATTGAGTAGGCTTCGTACAGAAATCCGGAAACCATTATCGGAAATGTGAATTACTCGGAAAGGCAAGGACCACCGAGGAACCAATTTTTCTGAATTCCGACTTAAAACTGAGTTGTGGTAAATCTCACTCGGGTTCAGAGCAACAAGCACTAGGTCGTTAAGCTCAAGTTTCTCGTTTAGATCTGGAGTTTGTTTGCATGAGAAGTTGTGTAACACCTCTAGATTTGAGAGAATGTCCATGCGAATTTCGTTGAGGGCAACGAGACGATCGACAGATCCATCACCATGTAACCGATAGTCTTGCGAGTAGGGGGAAATCGGGTCTCGACCATAAACTAGAAACGCGGGGGAATGACCAGTAGCAGAATGAATGCTAGCCCGATAACCAAATAATGCAAATGATAACGCATCTTGAACACTGAATTGCAGATTTTTCATTTGGTAGAATTTGAATGCTTTGTTTAAGGTCTTGTGAAAAGCTTCCACCAAAGCATTTCCTTGAGGGCGATATGGGAGGGTGTGGACATGGCTACATTGCAGATCTGTGGCCAAATTTTCGATAACTTCAGCAGTGAACGATAACGCATTGTCGGAAACTAAGCGCAAGGGAATTCCGAAACGACAGATCCAGTGGCTAAGTAAAATGGATGCTGTACCCGTGG